GCCGAACCGCCAGGGCAGCGCCCCAGGAGCGGTAGCGCTTGAGCAAACGGGAACGGAATAAAGCCCTAGCGCCGCGCTGTCGCGTACGCCCCGCGCCGCAGCCTGCGCCAGCACCAGCCCGCCCCCTCCTCCGCAGCCGCGGGCGCAGGAAGCCGGCCAGCGCAGCAGGGCCAGGGCGAGGGCCGCGCGCGGCTCTGGTACAGGAGGAGGAAGCGTGGAGCCCAGGCGGGGACGCTGCCCCTCTGCCCCCTCTCTCTTTTTATTCACTAAACGTCTTTCCTTACCTCGTACGGTTCAACGCGACTGGTCCAGTTTAGTTTCAGAGTCTCCTACGCATCCTTTTGTACTCGAGCTCTCAAGTCTGCAGGGGAGCAGTTCATTCTCTTCTCCGTCGCGTTTGGTGTTACGGCTTTTAACGTTCATCCTGGCTTCTGGCAGACGCAGAACTCCACGCCCGCGGCCAGGCCCGGTGGTCTCAGCGCCGTCTCTCTCTCTCAGTCCCGTAGAGGCCTTCCTCCTTCTTCCAAAAACAGACAATCTTGCTCCTTGTGGGAGCTTGAAAAATACCTTGCTGAATGCCCCGCTCTGTTAACGTAGTACTTGAAAATCCAGTCTCTAGGGCCAGCAGGAACTTGGCTCCAGTTAAAGAGGGGAGGGAGCCAGCCTTCTTGCTAAGCGTACCACTAGTTAAGCCTTACACCCTTCCGGACCGCCGCTCTGCTTTCTGTTCCCAGACCTGCGCTCCCTGCCTGATCTGCGGCTCCACTTTGACCAGAGCACCAGCTAGCACCAGCGCGGCTGGGTACCGGATACGAACCTTCGGGTGCAGGGATTCGAGTGTTGACCCGCCTAGCTAAAGGGCAAAACATCCTTAAGTTTCTCACAACCATCCCGAGGGGAGCCTCCAGTGTCACCAGCAATGAAACAGGAATGTGAGCAGAGGGAGATCCTCTGCTACGGGATACACAGCAGCACAGGGTAAAGCGGCTGAAGAAAGAACCAGAAAGATTCCGTTGCAAATTCACATTCTTTTCTATTCCGAGTGCCAGATCTCATAAGCAAGTTTTTGGTAATACATAGAGATACTCTAATTGTACATTAAATTAATCCATGAAGTGTCAGCATGGGGAAAACATATAATGGAACCTTTTCTTGTGCACCAAGTACGAACGGTTAATATTTACATAATGTTTCATTGCAGTCCCGTGATTTACATATATCTATTTACCTTACCAGGTGCGACAGCCACCACATAGCTATCCTAGCAACAAAAAACACAAAAGAAATAAATAGATCAGAAACCCCCAAACTCACAAACCCGTTTACAACAGTGCAAAGACACGTTGTTTTACAGAGAACAGGAAACACCAAGCTTTTCTACTGCATTTAAGATACAGTAGAGAAGTGGATCAGAACTCTCATTACTTTTGAAAGACTAATTTTTTTTGATCTGCTGGTCACCAAGAGTTGATCTAACTTGACCAGCGTCATTTTTGCAAGAGCCTAAGCTAAAAGAATACAATTTTGTCTCGATTTCAGTCACTGTTCAGCTCTTCTAGATAACTATGCAAGACGCATCAATGTTCGACAGACTCGGATAAGGATACCACTAGTTACCATTTGGTGTCATAGCAGAACTTGCTAGGAAGAACTTTTCAAGATACTCTCAAGAAGCACCAAATTCTTTGATGAGCTCAACACAACTGCAAAACCCACATGTGGTTGTATCTAGTACATTTTTGGGAAAAAGATTCCTCAATTCTGTGATTCTGCAACGTAGTTACAGACAGGCTCCGGGACTCAGGAGATTGCCAAAGGTTGTAATTGTAGCTAATGTCCGTGCATTAGTTATGGAGACACACCTGTATCCGTTTTCTTCTATGTAAACATCTGGTAGTGAATTATACAATAAAAATATTGTAAAACATTAAGCTAAGTTCCCCAGATTGCTATTTCTTCCACTTATTTATGGTACTCCAAAGGTGTACTACAGGTAAAAAAAAAAGGTATTCCCCCCACCTTTCCTTTAATATTAGGGTCATTATATACGATTGTCTAGATATGCCCTTTTTATTCCAGTGTGTTCATACTTTCTACAGGCTTATATACAGAGTTAAATGTGTTACTAATTTACAAACCATGTTAAAACTAGACAAATGTTTCACCTTGTTAAACAAAAATCTTGAAAGGCTTAAGATTAAAATACAAGTTTTAACAATATCAGAAACTTCCTTTACCTGACTGTGGGCTCTATTGCTTTGGGACTTTGGTGAGGAGTCTCCTTGAGTGCCTGAACCAGAGTCAAGTCCCTTAACTCTTTCCATTAAGATTTAATTGTACAACAAAACCCCTGCTGAGTATAAACTCTAAACTAATGAGGCATGACCAAAGGCCACACTGTCATGTTCAGAGCCTTCAGCGGCCTGTTTCCCGGCTCCCGGAGAGAATCCCCACCTCTTGCACTGCACGTTGCAGTAGTTTTGTTCAAAGGAGATAAGAAAGCCAAAAGCCCCAGGTGGAATTTGCAGGAGTCCGACAAGGTATTCTCTGGAAAGCGCCCTCACTTGCCAATACACACCTGACCTGTCAGCCCAAGTCCTGCTGCCTCAGAAAGGTCTTATGAAATGACCTAGCTGCATGCTTCAGGAAATAAGCTGCCCAAGGGTGTTTAAGGCAGTCTACAGTCTAGAAGAAAATGAGATGGGAACCGTGCCTTCCTCAAAGGGATGATTCACATTAGTACTAAGATATTACGATGGTGGTAGGCACACCAGGAAAAGCACACATGAGAATGAGATACCTTTATGCATTTCTATGCTTCCCCCACCATCCCCCAATCACTGCAGTATCCCAGTACAGCACCCCTGAGGTAGGGAAGAATTATCCCCGTTCTATAGATGGGGAATGGAGGCACAAAGAATAAAATTAAAATTGTCAGTAATCTTCAAGAGCTATGCACCCAAATCCCATTGAAAACAATGTAACTAGACACCTAATCTCTTAACCCCTCAGAAAAATCTCAGCCCAAACAACTCGCCCACAGTTACACAGGAAGTCTGTGCTAGAGTCAGTCCAGTGTCTTAACAACAATATCATCCCTCTGTGTTTATGAAATGGCACTCAGATGTCAAGAGGATTTCTTAAAACACAAGGTCTATCTTCATATTGGGTGCAAAAGCAGTTCCAACTCGACCACTACTTGGGAAGAGTCTCATGCCCAAAGCTTTGCTTAAAAGAAACTATTTTGCTACAACGGGCTTTTCCAGACTAGACTTCCAGGTCTAGACTCCATACTAGCACCGACAGACAACTCCATGAGATCAAGTAAGTTCTGTTTACTTGTACCAACAGCATCTATGACCCACTCCCCCGAAGCACCATTCTCTCCTCTGGGCCACAGCAAGGAAGATATTACACCAGTAATTTCCATAAACACCGACACACCAAGAATGAGCTTGATTTTGAACTTACAGAGAATTGCATATATCAGTGGCTTTCAACCTTTTTTTCCCATTTGTGGGCCCCTAAACATTTCAAATGGAGATGTGGGCCCCTTTGCATTGTACATGTGGGTATTCATGCACTTTTGACTGGTCACAGTCATCTTTCGCAAGCCTCTTAGACAGTCTGGAGACCCCCAAGGGGCTGCGGCCCACAGGCTGAAAACCACTGCTGTAAATAATCAAGGGGAAGGAATCACAACATTCCCTCTCTTCTACCATAGTCCATCCAGAGAATAAGGAGGGAGGAACATTTTGTAAAGCACCAAACCATTATTAAGTTGGTCACTGATATCTGGTCAACATCCAATGGGCAAGAACTTTGCATCTACTCTGCCAGGATCCCACTGTAAGATGGTTTTCTGCCAGGGAGGCAAGGCCAAAAATCTGGTTCAAAAACAGCCCCCCCCTATACAGATGCAATATCTATCATATTTCCTTCAAAACAGGGAAAAAAACTGTTGTCAGACTACCTTCAGTTACGTTAAAAGTGCAAAATGTCAGAATCCTATCCTCATTCTTCATGATTTTATGTATTTATCAACCCAAAACGATCTCTCATAAATCATTAATCAAGGTAGGGAAATTGCAGGAAGAGACAGAGCTACAGAATTACCTTTCAGACCTTAGCTGAAAGCAGAAGCCAGGTAGAATAGGCAGTAGTTTCAGTAGAACCAAGTTAGATGCTTATGAAACCACCAGGGGCGAGGTGTGTAGCTGTAGTAAACAAGTACGGTGTTTGTCATCAAAAGCCACATCCTTAAACAGTCACATGCTAAAACACACCTTTTCAGTTTTTTATAGGGAAATTGAACACCCTAACCCTTTTAAGTTTCTGTCTCAACGTAAGTCAACTTTATAGGGCAAATCTGGAGCAAGTCACAGGGAAAAATAAGTCACGTTGTTACAAATACTTTATTTGCCAACAAGTTTTCTATGTTGTCGGGGAAAAACTGATTCCTGAAAAAGTTACAAGACTTCATGATTCAGAGAATGTGAAGACTAGAGCCTTTAGCTCTGTTACTCCATTTGTTAATAATTAAAACTGTGACAGTGACATGAATTTTAGAGACATGTCAGTTCTCTATGCTCCCCTTCCCCCCCAAATTTGACTTTAAATATTATTGACGGGCATGAGACCTTTCGTTATATGGCACGACAGCAGATATTTATGCTGCAGCTTCAAGCTTGCACTTTGGAACCAAATGTACAGTGCAATTCTCACACTGAGGTCCTGGCAATGTCAAACCCAACTGCAGCATGTTTAGAGATGCTCAGCTGAAGATGAAAGCCTGTACCCCTTTCCACACACCATCATCTTCCCTTCTGCAAAATCTGTACAAATCTTTAGCTTTACATTCATGGATGTGCCAGAAGTTTCTGATAATGCTGGGGAAACCTTGCATAACAGTCTATACCTGTTTGCCAAGATGCTATATATCAAATCGATTTAAGTTGTATGCGGTTGGATGGTTTTGCCTGTTATACTGGAAGTGATCCGTTAAAACATTGGTTCGGCCATACTGATAGTCTCCATGTTGTGAAAATGCCACGAGTCCATTCTGAGACTTTTCTGGAGTGTTAAGGTGATGGTCCAAATTCACAAGGTCTGCAGTTGTAATTGGAAGCAACTGCTTCTTCGCTTCCTGGTTTGCATCATATTTTGTCTGTGGAAATAACAGATTAACACAATCTCTCAGAGGCTGCCCAATAAGCAAATATGCTTAGGAAGAACAAAAGCTGTTCCAGAAGAAACCAGTCAGACTAAAGTCTGTGCTCACCAAAATATGAAATCCCAAGTCACTCCTGTTGTGACTCCCTACCCATTGTTATTCTTAGTTAATACGGCTTTTGAGCAAACTTGATGCTGAAGCCACTAGATCCTTAATCCTAATTTTTTAATCAGATTAAAATTGGAGATAGGAGTTTAACAAAGGCCAAAAACCACAACTTATCTACTGGCTGAAACCCTAAATCAGCCTCTGTTCAGGCAAAAGAGATTTCTTCTGGTTACTGTACACCAGAACTCATACACAAACAAGTTCGCAACCTGTGCATTTATCTTGTCCAACCCTAATTTTCTCAGGGGGTCGGACTAGATGGCTTCCTGAGGTCCCTTCCAACCCTAATTTTCTATGAATCTATACTTAGGTGCCTACAGAAACTCAAGAGAAGATCACCATCTTAAATGTTTGTAAGAACAAGTTAAAAAGCTGGCTGCTTCCAGGGGGCAGCGCCTGGCACCGGCACCACAAGCGGCTGCTGTAAAAATAAGTCCTCTGATCCACCAAAGCAGCACACTTAATTAGTGGCACAGCAAGTGTCCCCTTATCCCCATCCTGCGTAAGAGGGACTCTCCCTAAACATGGCTCATTCATACTTTGGTCTCTGCTAAACCTACAAAATGTGGGCAACTTCTGATGATATGTTATGTGATGCAATTTTGATCTTTGTTCTGCTAATGGACAACTAAGTTAATAAAGGAACATTTTATGTTTACCAGAGCACAGCAGCTTTCAGATACTACTGACCAAAACAGGGGCCACAATGTACACGTACCTTGTTATACAAGAATACTCCTAGGATAGCAGTCATCATTCCAAGAACATTGGTGCTGGTAACTGGGTTTCGAAGCATTATAAGAGAAACTGTTATGACCATGATTCTTTTTGTGGCATTTGCAACAGAGTAACTTAAAGGGCTGATCAAATTAAGAATACTGAAGGCAATGACATTCTGGGCAAAGTTACAGAATCCACTGATTATGAGCAGCATTAAGGTCCAGGACCAATGAGACACAGTACTCTACAGGGAAAACAAAACGTAGCAAGAGTCAGTTAATATATTCAGTTTCCGGGAAAAGATGAAGAAAACTTCCTGTACAAAAGTAGATGCAACTCCCAGTAACTTCTGTAATTACCTGTCACCAGCTTTTTGATAGGGAAGACATCCTCACCCCCTCAGTAAAAAGGCTCAACGCTACACGTCCTCCCACCCCTCCCCTGCCGTTCTGACATTCACTGGCTGTCCATTTCTACAGCTGCCCTCACCACATATATTTTAGGCTCATCTGGATTTGATTTTCAAGGTTCTCATCTTCTGGTGCTAGTTCCTGAAGTCTGTGCTGCTGTATGACAGACAGCTGCTTTTGTCTGCTGAGATGGCAATGCGTTCTTCCTATACACTTGCACTCAGCGCCTGCCTTTTCTCAACTACTTTTTGGCACAGCTGTCAACAAGTCTAACCAAGGATTACATGGTGATGCTTACCAAATCTCTTAGGCACCGATAAACTTTTCTCTACTGTAAAGCTTGCTGAAGACTCACCAAGTCATTCTCTACTAGGAAGGAAGAAAGGTCCACCAAAACCCATGTTGGGATCATGAAAAATACAGCATGGCATCCAAGTATATTCAGCAACCGAAGATGATGTATCCGGGAATCTCTTAACACCTGATAAGCAAGACACAAGAAATCATTCCCTGGCCAAACATTAAGGGCATTCAAAGTAGAGGAAGTCGTTCCAACAAGCACAGTTCCAAACACTGGTAGGAAACAATAAACCATTGCCCACTCAAAAAGTCTAACTCGTTTTGTACCAAGGGATTAAGGCTAGGTAGCAGTCTGCCTGGAGGCAAAGACTTGCTACTTGGTTAGTTTAAAAACTGGAAAGGGTTACCAGTCAGCTGTTCACGCTGTCTACTAGCACCCACCTCTTAAGTGTTAAACGTTCTGCTCAGACTTAAAAAACCTGCTTTTTTTCCCCCAAAGCAAATTCAAGAAACATGTCTGAGCTCTGAATGACCTGTTCCAGGGTCAAGGGTGTGGCAAGGGCTAGCAAGTGCTGAAGGTGTAGTCTTTCAAATACAATGATAGTCTCACGGTCCCTATGAACGCTCATACTGCTGATGAGAGTTAATGAGCCTTGGGCGTGGCAAAGAGATCTCAGTGGTTCTCAACCTCTTCAGACTGGTAGCCCTGTCTCCAAACATGCCTGCTCTGAGTTTCTGCTGTATTTTGACTGCAGAAAAACAACTGGACAATTCTCCTGTTGCAAAGAGCTGAGGAAAACCACAACGTTTTGGCACCACGGCTTCCCAGCGGAACTCGCCGGGTGTCTCTTGTGAATCACGCTGGCACATCTGAGAGCGCCAGCACGGCAGGACACCTCCCGTCCCCCTTGAAAGGATCTCAAAGCAGCACCCTGGCTGAGCATGACCGAGCGAAGGGCAGCCTGTGGGTCAGCACGCTGCCGGTGCCACGGGCTGGACTTCCAGCCAGCAAAGGGGGCAGGAGAACCATTACCTTTTTGGAAAAGATGTTCTGAAGCGAGAAGCAAAGCGTAGCAGCAAGAGCACTGATGAGTCCCCACATGTCAAAAGACAGTTCAGTCACCGTGGCCAGCAGGACACCGCTAATTATAGGGATTAATGATAAATACACCTGAAAGAGGGAGCAAGGGAGATGAGCTTACACCCTTCGGGCACTTCCAGCTCAACAAGGTCTTGCGCGCGCGTTCGGCCTGCACAGCGCAGACGACCAGCTCGTCCCGCGCTCTCGGAGGGCTCCTTCACCATCGCGAGAGCGAGCGCTCGGCTCCGGGCCGCAGAGCCCCCGGGCTGGAGGGGACTCCAGGGTCCGGAGCGCCCCGTGCTGCGGGCGGGCGCAGCCCCCGGGACGGCCCCTACCTTTGTGGTCTGCTTCTCCTTCATGATGATCCTGGAGAGCAGCACGACCCAGATGGGCATGGTGGCCTTCACTGCAAGCAGAGGGAAGGCGAGGCGGGCGCTGCCGCGACCCGG